GAAATTTGCTAGTTAGGGCCTTTGTGAATTCAATCAAGCATAGTAGTAATTCAAGTTATATCGCTGGCTTAGAGTGAAAAGTCTATAAGCCCACTTATAAAAAGCTATATTTTGATACAAAAAGCAAAAACATTTAAAAAATTTTCCGTTTCCTAAAACATCGAACTATCTATTTTATTTTTAACCGTTTCGAAATAGTGATGCGCAAATTCGCTATATCCAAACAGGGGCCAAAAACGCGTTCCGGGAACAAAAGTATTGAGAGCAGTTTGAACGGGGAAAAAATGAGAACAAAAAGGTTCGGGAACGTTTCCGTAAAGAACAAAGTGGGAACGTTCTTAACGTTAAGTTCTTAAAACTTTTGTTCCCGTTTCGTTCTCTGTCAGAAAGTACCAAAGTTCCTAAGACTTTAATTCCCAAATCGCTCTTCGAGTGAAATTTCCTTCGACTTTTGTTCCCGTTCTGTTCTTACCAAGAACGTTCCAGAGACTTGTTTAGAGCCCGACCAATTCCAATTTTTTTTCAGGTACCGATGCCTTGTGGCTTATGGGGAAAGAATCGGCCGATGCCGATGCCGATTTCATAAAAAATTACAAACAAATGTATTAATTCACATGCCAATGTATGTGTAAAAATAAATGTACAATAACGACACAATTCAAAATTCAAAAAATAAAAACTTGTTACTACTGTTGAGTGGCTCATGTCTCTAATCCTTGTCGAGTCCATGTCTAATCTTTTGTATTTATTTTAGCAATCCTTACTGCTTACTTTAATAGAGGACGGAAATAGATTAGGCCGGTTCACGTCCCTGGTTTTATATGATTTATAAAAAAAAATTAATAGCGAAAATGTAAAAAAAACGCGATTTTTGTGAAAGTATTAGCAAATTTTAGTGCATCTAAAATTTCTGAGGCGTTGTTTACATTTACTTGAGAATTATCAAAATAGGCAAATCACAAGTAGCGGTTTCTGTAATGTGCCACATTTGTTCGCTACATCGTGATGTGATAGAATGAAACGCTGACAGCACTCCGCAAGTTTGCAAAAAAAATTTATGTTCCAAAAATATTTTGATATGGAAGGAACCGCTTTACACTGTCAAGGAAAAAATTGGCAAAATTCAATAAAATTGTTAGTAACTTCAATCTAGCACTTTGTTATACATACTAAAATTAATTTTTTTAGAGTCTAATTAAAAAGTTTGCAATTTAGGTGAAACCTTGCAGAATTTCTTTAATTTTTGTACAATGTTTGATCCAAAACCTGAGATCTACCACATTTTTTTTGAAATCTATCACATTTTTTTCCAGATTCTACCACACAGAATTTTTTGAAGTCCGATCACTGATTGTCACATATGAAAAATATGGCTGTTAGAGCCATTTCAACAATTAGTCTGTTCCAATAGCAGTCCGGTTTACAGGATTTAGTCAGAACTTACAGGAAGTCGTTCCTATTGACATGAAACCTGTAAGTGGGAACAGAGTAACTGAGCAACTGTTCCTAGTCAGAAGTTATAGGATTTAGTCCGGAGTTTTTTTTCCTGTAAGTTCATGAAAAGTGTCAAAAGATCAGCTGATTTACATGTGCAAACAAAAACAGAAAGCGGTGAAAGCAAAGAACCTTATATTTGTTAAAAAATGGAAGTAAACTAAATTAGTCTGTTCCTTTGAACTTCGGACTAAAACCTGTGGAACTGTCAAACTACAATTTTACGCTCTCAAATGAGAGTAAAAGAAGAACAGATGCAGAAGTGCATAGGAACGCAAAAAGCACTATTTCCTGTAAAAACGTCAGACGGTTTGTTTACATGTCATTGGTACTACACTGATTTGGCTGAAATATCACTAAATAATTATTAAAATCTATACATATTCAAATATTTCGTTGTTTACTTCCATTTTTTAACAAATATAAGGTTCTTTGCTTTCACCGCTTTCTGTTTTTGTTTGCACATGTAAATCAGCTGATCGTTTGACACTTTTCATGAACTTACAGGAAAAAAACTCCGGACTAAAACCTGTAACTTCTGACTAGGAACAGTTGCTCAGTTACTCCCTCAAATGTGTTCCCACTTACAGGTTTTATGTCAATAGGAACGACTTTCTGTAAGTTCTGACTAAATCCTGTAAACCGGACTGCTATTGGAACAGACTAAATATTAGAGTGGACTCTCCCCATGTACACATTCGCATTCGCAAAACATTCGTTTCATTTGATGCGAATGCGAATGTGTAAAATGAAGCGAATCATTCGCATAACGAATGAGAATGCAAATATTCGCAACATCCCTGGTATGTACATACATATGTGCATAACTCAATGAGAGGGGAGACCAGTTTGTATGTATGTATTTATATAAAAAAAAATATTTATTGGTTCAAAAATGGTGGGTAGGCACTGGCCAATGGTAAAGTTCGTTTACCACCTCTGTACGGTTGTAAGCCATGCAGAGTCCGCGAAATGCTCCGGAAGCAGTGTCCGGAGGATGCATCAGACTAGGCCGAGCATACTTTGAAGTGCCATCTAATTAAAACTTAAGAAAGTTCAATTACATGGCAGTTGAGAAGTGCATGTGTAAAAATTTCATAAATTGCATAAAGGAAATTTTTGCACATGCAACAGTACATAGCATATATTTAGGCGCCTGGGTTAGCAGACGGGCCTAAACAATATGTATAAAAGAATTGCGATATCTTGACCGATTTTAGCATTTGGCATTTGTCGTTTGTTTATTTAATGTTTATTATTTTTTTTATAAAAGGCTAGCTGGTATATAACAAACACCATATAAGTTCAGATTTCAAACTTTGTACAAAAATTTGAAAAATTCAACAAACATATTTTCTAGCCAAATATGCATATAATTCAGAAATAAAATTTAGAAATTTTCACAAATAAAAGTGTGACTGTTATATTTTTTTTTTATTTTTACGTTCCAAAAATTTGTGCGTTCATTGCTCATGTTTCAGTTTATAATTAACTGGTAGTATTTGGAGAGGAGAAGCGAAGTATGT